ATATCTCGTTGCAGTGTCGATTATCAGTAACATAGGCTTGTAAATCATTCGTAAGTAAACTACTGAAGTTTGATATTGTTGTATGGGTATATTACAACATTTATAGCTGGAAATTGACGACTGGGCGAGTCAGTATATTTTTATTCGAATTTCGCATTTTCGAGACTTTGCCCGTGCCGATGTTATGATGACACTCAATTATCACCGACTACAGAGAAATAAAGCCATAGAGTAGTGCTCTCGGCCACTCGCCTCCTCTGACCTCTCTCGCTCTCTCTCTCGTGTAGTGAGAGAGTTAGAGAATGAGAGTAGACTTAGTAGTAAGTAGAGTCCTGGCGACCTGGTCAATGGAATAAAAAGGCCTGGTAACAACAGTTACCTTCTTTGATTGGTAAATTAAAAATGCACATTTTATTTTACTTTGGGTAAGGGCCGTGATATGTAGTATTCTCTCACAGGCTATGTAGCGGGTTGCCGTCTTGCTGCTTCTGAAACTGCAGGCCGAGACCAGGTCTCAATTACGAATTTTTTAAATTTAAATATTTGTTATAAAAATATTCGAAATTCTGAAATACCAATAGAATCTAACAGTAAATAACGAATCAATAAAATACATACAAGAAGAGAGCGAGAGAATTCGAAGAGAGAGAAAAGTCAAAAGAGATTGATTGAGAGTGGGAGACGGGAGTATTGAGTATTCAGTCAATATATATTTTTATCGTGTAATGAGCAGTTGAACTAAGTAGTATTCAGTCAATATATTATTTTATCGTGTAATGAGCAGTTGAACTAAGTACATACATATGTATTATGACTTATGCAACCGAAGATACTGAAGTCTGAACACAGAAGTCTGAACAGCGAACAGTCTGAAGTTTGAACAGTGAACAGTGAGAAGTGAACAGAGAACAGTGGACACTGAACTGTGAACAGTGGTCACTGGACACTGAACAGTGAACACGAAGTTCTGAACACTGAACACCGTGACTCATTCACTGTTCACGGTGTTCAGTCTTTTACTACAGTAGAGCACTGAACAAGTGTGAACAATGAACACTGAACAGTGACTGTGAGTCTGTGCTGAGCACTAACAGTGAACACTTTGGAAGTTTGTACAGGCAATGATTTTTATAAAAATGAAAGAGCTTTTTTATATAATATTTCTATTTTTTAATAAATAGATAAATAAATAAATACAAAAACAAATTTATGTATTGAATTCGAAGAAGCAGGAACCAGTCTTACAGAAAAATTGTAACTTTTATTATGCCTCGAATAAACAGTAGTTGTAACTTTTATATCTCGATAGTACACTTCCATATATGATAGGTGCATTTTTCAGGTCACTCAGGTGACAGTCGTCACAACTGAAACTCCCAATCTCTTTTGATTGCCTATTATCATTTTCGTGGCCTAAAATTTTCAGCGATCGGACAGCTTATTGAGTGCAGTTTCCAAAATAACTTTGTAGTTGATTTGTCCTAAATAAAAGTTATAACTTTTAAAAATCAAAAAGTTAACGGCTGAAGGGCGAAGCCGCGAAGGCCTAAAAAGTAAAATATGTGGACTGTTCAAGTGTTCACTCACTGACACGCTGTTGTAAAATGTAGTAATACCAGTCTCATACGTATTTTTTCGAGTTAAGATGTAATTAGCGTGATTTTAGCCCATTTATTGCACTTGTTCTATTAGGTCTTTGTCGGCCTCAGAGGAGAGGTCGACGTATGCTAGACACGAATAGTGTCAACTGTAAAACCATGGGCGAATCCGAAGCAATAGCTAAGACAGAGGACGCCTATATGCATGTGTCTAACTGCTAACATATGTCAAGCCCGTAAGACCGACAAGGATCTAACATAAGTGCAACAAATGGGTTGTATCTGTGCTACAATATCTAACATTTAAGTCGAGAGCTTTCTGCCGACAGAAAACAAACAACCCGGCAGAAAACAAACACATCTCACAAGTGCTTAAAAAATCACGCTAATTAAATTTTAATACGCCTATATTTAAGCAAATTAAACTCGGAAAAAGTACAAGTATGAGACTGGTAGGAAACTGGGCCTGAGGTGGTTAAAAAAATTATGTTCACCAGTGCCGTATAAAGACACTCGAGTTTTCCTTTTTGTTTTTATAAAAATAGATACAAAAAAAATGAACGTGTTATGGAATTTTGAAACTTCTTGGAAGTTCCCGTACCCTGACGCATTCTGCACGAAATCTGAATAAAAACTTTAAAGAGTTATCTGGTCTTCGGGATTCCGACTGTCAACGAATAAATACTCCCGCGTTTATTCAGCTGCTATTCACTATTCACAAATCCTCATTTAGAGAGGGGTCAACCAAATAGTTTCTCGTACATTGGACGATCTACAACCAATAGTCTATCAATAATACTACAGAGTTGTCCCTGCCCTACAATACCTTTATATCATTGGGTGTTGTAGCGGCACGCTGAGACCGGGACTGGCAGCGTGGCAGTGACTCTTTTTTTTTTTAAACAACTTTTAAAACAATTCTGAAGCTCTGCACCAGTGCAATGACCAAACTACAATTCTACAAATTTATTTACACGTGATACAAAACAGGATAAATACAATACATTATACATACACTTTGCAGTTGATTTCTTTTAACTTTTTTTTTTTAAACGAGAGCAAAGCTGTAAATCTAAATACATAACGGAAAATAATAATGAGTAAATAGTGTCCATTCAATAAATATTTAAATATGCAGTTGTATGTACTACTACTGTACTCTGGTACATATTTATGTATTCTGTTTTCAGTTTAAAAAAACAACAACAAAATCATATGTATCTGTTTATTTTATATTTTAAAAAATAAAAAAATAATGTATGTAAGTGACTACAGAATGTATAATTAACATCAGGTGAGAACATTGTAGGTATTATGTTCTCACAGTGGGGACTGGGGGGGCAGCCGGCATTCCCCTCACTATGAACATTTTGGGAGCATTTTTTCCGATAATAGAATTCTGCCAGAAATCCGTCCTCCATCGTCTTTGATCCAATAAAACCTCATTTTTGACAGTAAGTCACAGTAATAGGTTTTTTTAGGTCAATGAGAATTGAATTGATACTTCAAACCCAATTAAATTACAATTTCAGAATTTTAGCCAATGATTCACTGGATATAAGATTTCGATTCAATTCTCATTTTCCAAAGTTCCGAACTTTCGAGTTTAAATACTACATCGGTTGTTGTGTGTTTAAATATTATATTTATTTCCATTTTTGAACGCTACTTTCACCTTAAGGTAGGGATACGTCTTCACTACTAGTTTGCGGTGTCTTTGCTACCGTAGCCGCGGCTTCGACGACCAAGCCTACGCTGCCCTTGGTCTTGAATTTCTTGTAGTCATTTCCCTTAGTAGCGCCCTTATTAGTAATGCTAATATTGGACTTAAACTACTTTCTACCTCCGCTCGCTTTCTCCGTGTTTCTTAGCCTTTGCTTCTAGTTTTCTGTACACAGTTCCCTGGGTCATTCAAACGGGACTCAGTGATCATTTTCGTCGGGTTCCTACATGCAGACATATAGACATAGATACATGCATACAAAGATACATAGATAGATATATACATAGATAGATAAATACAGATTTATAGACTTACAAACACACAGATATACAAAGATATACAGACATACATACGTACATACATAGATACTACAATACATAAAGACATAGATACATACATAGATACAGAAATTCACACAAACATTCAGACATAGATACATACAAATGTACATACATAAATACATACAGCCATAGATAGATAGATACATACATACATAACATAGATAAAAACAAACATACAGACACATAAACAGACATACAGATATACATACATACATACATAGCATAGATACATACAAAAATAACATAGATAGATAGATAGATAGATAGATAGATACAGACAGACTTAGATACATACATATATATACATAGCATAGATACAGAGATACATACTAACATACAAAAGTAGATACAGACATAAATAGATATATATTTATATATATACATATATATATATATATACATATGTACATATGTATATATATATATATTTATATTCATATATATATATATATATATATAGAATATATATATATATATATATATATATATATATATATATATATACTATATACACGTACAC